AACCGACTGCATTTGAGTTCGAGCTTGGGTCTGTATTTCAACAGTTCATGGGTGTACCAACAGCTTACAGAGCCAAACTGGAACCAGAAGTGGAACCAAGGCGGAAACCAAAGCAGGAACCAAAGCTGGAACCAAAGCTGCGACCACAGCTGAAACCGAGGGTGGAACTGAAGCTGGAACCAAAACTGGGTACAAGAAATGGAACCAAATTGGAAACCAGAATGGGGCTAAATTGGAAGCAAAATGGGACCAAATGGGACACACAGCTGGAACCAAAAGTGGGACCGAAAGTGGAACCAAAGCGAGAACCAAAGATAGAACCAAAGCTGGAACTGAAGCTGCATCCAAAACTGGGTCCAAAATGGAACCAAATTGGAACCAAATTGGAACCAAATTGGAACCAAATGGGAACCAACTTGGGGTAAATTGGAACTGAAACGGGACCAAAATGATACCCGAAATCAGGTCCGGTCCCAAGATGGAACCAAAACTGGCCCCAGAACGTAAAGAGGACTGATCCTTTCCACAAAAAACTTCCATCTAGGGGAAAACTCGTCTCCAGCAATGGCGGTAGTTTCGGGAGACTGGTGTATGGCAGACCACTGTGCTTTTTCGGAGGCCTCCGCACATGACAGCCCTGTGGCTGAATGGTAAATGCATGTAGCTATTAATAAATAGAGCAACAGTTCAAATCCTGCCAGGTACACGCATGCACCTATTGATACACAGGTCATGAGTTCAAATCTTGAAAGTTGAATGGTGCACACACGTAGCTCAGCTGTTGATAAACAGGTTAAGAGTTCAAATCGTGATGACGTATACGTGTTGGTAAAGAGAGGTCACGAGTTCAAATCCTGAACGGTACTCACAAGAACCTGTCCATAAACAAGTCATCCGTTCAAGTTCCTCATGGTACACACATATAGCTATTAATAAACGGGTGAGGTCATATCCTGATGATAGATATGGCACTCTACTGTCTGCGGTTTTCTGCATGAAAAAGAAGCAGCCTTCACAAGAAAAAAAACACAAAAGATACCCTGCCTTGCCCACTCATGGCACTCTCCCTTTGTTTCCCACCCATGTACTTTCGCTGTGCCTCCCCCTCCTTTGAGCCGCGGCAGAGAGAGAAACATCTTGACCACAGAGAGAGAGAGAGAGAGAGAGAGAGAGAGAGAGAGAGAGAGAGAGAGAGAGAGAGAGAGAGAGAGAGAAAGAGAGAAGGGTGGGGAAGAGTGGGAGAGTATAAGAGTGGGAGAGTATCTCCTCGAGTGTCCATATGATGGAAAACCAAGAATCCTCAGCTCCACCCAATCATTCACACCTCGATCTACCCTCTCTATCTGTTTTCATGCTGCGGCGTCGGCACGACTGGCCTCCACTTCTTATTTTGAAAAAGGTTTCCCCAAACCCTCTTCCGCATTCAACCCCCCTCCTTCCCCCTCCTCCTGAAAAAACAAGACGACACCTGTGATGACAGCATGACAATGCTTTAAGCCACCAGTACTTCCTGAAGTCATGCCCGTATACAAGCCATGGTTTTAGGAAACGTACAGGCCACTACAGGAGCGCCCAAATTCATCCGGCTAGAAACGTTTTTACTCCATTTATTTTCCGTGGCCGATAGCTGGGCCAAGTACTGGTGGTTTAAGGATTGAGAGCATAAGATTTCAGAGGAATTCAGACCCACCCATCTTACCTGTGATTCCAGAATACGCTTCACTGCAGCAACGCAGCCTCCACAGGACATTCCCTGATCAACAGCAGCACAGTCAATAACAGAGCCAAAAGAGACTCAGAAAAGGGTCTAAAAAGCAGGACTTAAAATAAAAATAAAAAGGACTAAAAAAGAGTTGAAAAGACTTAAAATCAGAAACAACAGATTGCAAAAAAAAAAAAAAAAAAAGTCTTTAAAAAGACAAATAAAAGATTCAAAAAAGAGACTCAAAACTCCAGAACCTTCAAACGCTTTATATGGCGACTCTGAATTGGTCAACACGCATGATGTTGAGTAAACAAAAACGATTCAGAAAGAGACTCAAACTCCACATTAAAACACACACACACACACACACACACACACACACACACACACAAACACACACACAAAAGAGACTCTGAATTGGTCAACACACATGATGTTGAGCAAACAAAAAAGCAGATCAAGATTTTGATATTTTGCACAGTCTTTCTTTCCTTCCTCTTCACAAAATACTTACAAAAAAATATCATCCTACCCAAAGAACATTCAAAAGAAAGACTCAACAGAATCAGAACATCCAGGAGTTAGATAAAATTAATTTATAAATTAAATTTAAAATAATAATAATAATAATAATAATAATAATAATAATAATAATAATAATAACAATAATAATAATAATCCACCAGAAATCGACTGGTCAAGGATCAAGATGATGCCTCTAAAACTTTGCAATTGCAAAGACAAGAGTCCTGCACTCTTTTTGAAAAGAATGCTCCCCCCCCCCTCTCCTGCAGGAGAATCCTGTTTTCTTCTTTTCTCATTGTTCCTTCTTTTTAATTAGTTAGACCGTTTCTTGATTTATGTGTGTCATCCTTGTGCAGGGGTCATGGGGATCACTTTTGTATTTCACATCTCAGCCTTGTGTCCGGGGGGGGGGGGGGGTCAAAGCAATCATCTTTATGTTTCAGATCTCAGCCTCGGTCAATTGGATCTCTTTCTTCTTATTTTTGAACGTGTTCTCATGATTCGTCGTCCCTTGGACTATGTGCCACACACACTCCACCACTCACCACATGCACAAAAGACAAAATTGTGGCAATGTATCTTTTCATGTTCTAGCGGGAGATTCATTCCCATTTTGCACATTTGGTGAGTGGTGGAGTGAGGCCCTATATTGAGCTTCTTCATGCATGTAAACGTTTTTCGCACTGAGTGGATGGGGGAGAGATGCCTCTCGCCGGTTTCCTTTGATCACATAGGTAGGATCTTCTTCTGTGTGTGCGTAATGATCGAGAGAGCGCCAGTGTGTTTTTTTGTTATCTTCTTTGTGATTGTATCATTTGTTCCAAAGCCAATGAAAGGTTATGGTTATGGGCCTCGATCCACTGCAACGTTCTACATGTACCTGCAGCTGGTATTGGTCCAAGTACATTCAAAATGTTGGATCAGTCCAGATGTATACTGTCCACGTCGCAGTCCACATACGTATTGTATGCTGAGTAGTGAAGTGAGGCCCTGTGTGCCCCTCTCTTTCACCACTCGGGTTGATCAATCAATCCCCAAAAACTGCATAAGCTCCCCAAATGCATTGCTAATTTAGGGGATTGGTATCAATTACCAAATACCGCGTTGTTTTTTTTTTTTTTTTTTTTTTTTTTGTGCCGCTCCTTGATGAGCACATCAATGCAAATCAATGCATATCAAAATGGGATGTAAAGAAGTGGTTGAGGATCAATGTGATCCCCCTTGGTTTACCCCAATGGTCACTATGTGCTGGATATGTGAACAAAGGTTTTGTGATTGTTGAAACTGCTTTCCCCTTTACTCTCCACTTTTGCCTTGGAGTGCGCTCACACTCATTCCCTAGTAAGTCATAGCTGAAAACTGGGGCACAGTGATATATGTCTTTTCTGTGCCTTGGATTTTCTGTAGGGGAGAAGCTTAGTATGGAAGGAAGGAGCTCTTTCTCCCCACATAGCTGAAAAGTGTGGCTCAATGTTATCTGTCTTTCTGTACCTTGAATTTTTTTCTGTAGGAGAGGCTTAGTATGGAAGGAAGGAACTCTTTCTCCCCCACTTAGCTGAAAAGTGGGGCGCAATTATATCTGTATTTTCTGTACCTTCCATTTTCTGTAGGGGAGAAGCTTAGCATGGAAGCAAGGAGATCCTTCTCCCCCACCAATCCCACTAGGATACTCATCCTGAGATTCCTGATTTCGATCTCTATGGCAAACCAAGGTGTGTGTGTGTGTGTGTGTGTGTGTGTGTGTGTGTGTGTGTGTGTGTTGTCATATTCACTATACACTAAAAAAAAGCATGACTGTGCCAGACTGTTTTGTCGGACTTTCACCGACTCATCAGGAGGTTGAACCCCAACAGTCTGCCCACGATTCATTTGACTGATGGATAAGCACTCACCACATCGCCCAGAGTTAGTGACACCCATCCTTGATGCATGCAAGCACATGTTCGCATTCACACATTCACATGCATGTGTGATTACTTCAACACTCGCACGTGCATGTGAAGGGAGCATGAATGTGTGTGCGTGCACGTGAGCACGAACGCAGGTGAGTGCATGCGTTTTTCCCTGAATGAGGATGCATGCTAGTGCCTTCATGTGAAGCCATCCCTTTCTCGTGAAATCTCTCTCTCTCTCTCTCTCCTGTCTCTTATACACATCTAGATGTGTATAAGAGACAGTGCTA